AATACCAAGAAAGGCCCAGTAAGTGTGTGGAAAGTTCTGGTTGTTTGTCTATTTCTTGACTTGAATTTTGTGTCCATAGTATCTTTGAGTGCCAGTCAGTTGGTTATCATACTGTTTCTTTGGCCTGAAGAGTTTTCCAGCAATTAATTTCTATATTCATAGTGATTTATTTTTCTTTGTGTCCACAGCTCTAATGAACAATCTTCTTTCTGGCAGAAAGTTCTGGTTGTTTGTCCACTTCAGGACTTCAGTCTTGTTCCAGAACTAAATTTTTGTGTGCACATCCATTCCACTGATCTGGGTAATTAAATTAAATCTGGTGGTTCCTTGCCTCTCTTACAACATGCATGTTAGGGAGGCAGTTGGTCTCATTTCCCCCCTCCCCACAAAGAAGGTCCCAGAACCCAGGTGAGGAATAGTGAGTTTATGAGACCCATCCTTGACAATATTGTGCAAAAGTAATGGTCAGCATCATTTCATTTGTTTTCTTTAAAACAATAGGGCCATCTCCACAGTGGAGGTTGGCTGTAATATAGCCACTGTTAACTGCCTGTGGTGAGGCCCCAGTCTCTTCCATGGTGCAACTCTCATACCACAGTCTGAAAGCCAGGAGAAGTCTTTTTCTAAACCACCCACTACTGGAAGAGATTGGGGCTTCTTCTTCCTCCTCTCTAGTCCTGTTCTGCCTTTCAGCGTGAGGTTTTGAAGAGGCATTCAGTGCTAGCCTTAATATGTGCTACGTAGATGCTATTTACAGCCTTAGCTATTTCATCTATCTATCGATCTGTAGCTCTGCTTCGATTATTTCTAAGTGACAGGGCTGCTGTGGTGCACTGTCTGGTGGTAGTCTTGACACATGTCCAAACCATTTGATCTGTTGTATCTTGATGTGGTTTAATACTGGTTCCTCCCAACTTCTTTCTGATCCCGCCTCTTCTAGTTACATAAATAGTTAGCAGCGTATACACTGTGGCAACGTCACAATATTTTCATCTTCTTTTAGCTGGGCTGGTCATTCATGGGTGAAATATCAAAGAGAAGTTACCATAATTCTGGTCAAAATAGACGCTGGACACGGCCACTGTTTTGAGCCAAATTTTTTTGCTTCTGCCAGACGGTAGCAGTTGCATTTCTGCTCCATTTGTAGACTGAAGGGATATAGTTTTGTCGCCCAGCTTCTGAGCTGAGTGCATGGCATGACACTGTGAGTTGCGGATTTCATTTATAATGTTTTTTGACTGTGACCATCCTGGTGGTGTGAATTGTAGATTCAGAAAATGGCGCGATGCCTGTTGTCGCAATATTGGTGGTGCCATTATGTGATTAAAATTGATTGCGTGTGCAACTGCTGATCTGTTGGTGACTTCTGCTATTATTCATGATGAACTGCATTTCTAATGTCGGACTGTTTGTGTTAGCTCTTCGGATGGCTACCGTTTGCTTTTAATGCATGTGTATGCTAGATATGCTGAGACATCAGTCTGTCAATCTTTCCACAAGGGACTGTAAAACATTCTGTGTGTTTTTCATTGGCACAGGAGCGGAGCAACTATGGGGTGACCCGTTTGCTAGGAAGCTGAACTGAAACTAAGATTACCAGATTACTAACCATAATACAGAGAAGTTACTAACCATAATACAGAGAAGTTACTAACCATAATACAGAGAGGTTTCTAATCATAAGACAGAAAGTTACTAACCATAATACATTTGTTTTGCTACCCACACAGCTCATATGAGAATCCACACAGGGGTGAGGCCATACAGCTGCGGACAGTGTGATAGAAAGTTTACCACTAAAGCTAACCGGGACAGACATGAAGCTACTCATGTTGGTTTGAAACCTTTTCAGTGCAATCAGTGCAGTAAGAGTTTCACAGAGAAACGTTCCCTGAAGATTCACATGCGGACTCATACAGGGGAGCGTCCTTTTGTGTAAGTCTTTGTACAGGTCACTACAAGCTATAAAGTTGTCTGTTTGCTGGGGTTTTTTTTTCTTATAATGTTAGAGGAAACCATTTTGATGTCTTAATAGAAATGTCTATGCAAACCATTGCCAGTACAAGGTGGACAGAAAAAAATAAGTAATCTAATAATTTTGAAAGATTAAACAGCATTAAAAATATGTGGTTAAGCACCATGAAGGATATACAAGTTAAAATTTTGAGAGCATGCATCTTCCCTATAGCAACATACGGATGTGTGTCATGGACTATCTCCTAGTTCTTAAGAAAGAAAAAAAGTGCTTTTGAGCTGACATGCTATAGAAAGATTCTCAGAATACCTTGGACAAAAGAAGAGAGGAAATACTGACATTTTCAAAGATCAGAACATCAAGGAAGATTGGCTAATAAACAGCATCTTGTCTGGGAAGCTGAAATATTTTGATCATATCAAGCACCATGGCGGATTGGAAAAAATAATAGCAGAAAGCATGATACCAGAAACGAGGGGCAGGGGCCGACCAACTCGAAGATGGGTGCATAATATAAGTGGCTCCTTGAATACAAAAGTATACGAGGCGGGAGAGCTGGTGAGAGGCTGAGATTTTTTCAGGCAGGCTGTGATGAGAGCAACAATCTGCAAAGAACCTGCTATGATGGGAATAAATCATTTTTAAAAGAGCAATTATAGCACAGCAATTCAACACCCTTGCCTACAAACCCTTCGGAGAAAAAAGCATAGAACCTGGAAATCCTTCCCTCCCCCAAAACCTTTAAAAAAAAAAAAATTCAGGTCATTAATTTTAAATTTTTTTTAATCACTTAAAAATGTTTATGAAAACTATAAACAGGAAAGAAATCAATAAACATGAACAGCATGGCTAATTAAATGACTATAATCTTTGGGCCTGAAAAAGATATTCCATACACTGACTGATTCCCTGACCCCGATTACTAAAGGCTAAAGGAGAACCTAAGTTTTCCTAGAAAAAAAGAAGTACAGGTCAGCTAACACAAAAGTGTTTATCTCTTCATAGAAAAAAAGCAGCAAGGGGTCAAGCAGCACACAAGTGTTTGTCTCCCCCTAGACAAAAAAAGATACAGGGGTCAGCCAGCACAAAAGTGTTTACCTCCCAGTGGATCATTACTCTATAACCAATTTGCGACAATCCTTCCTGTCATTTGACATCTTGAACATCTCACCCCCATATCCTCCTCATCTTTTTCGTGTCTGTATTTCTTTTAACACTGAATTGTTTATCATCACCTTTTTCCTTTGGCCCTGTAAGTTAGGATTCTGAAATTTGAGTCACTGTAACATATTTCAGCTGTGATGTTTGCGGTCAGCGTTTCACTCAAAAATGCACCCTGCAAGTACACATGGACAGACACACCAACAAGAAAGGTCATCTGTGTGACCTGTGTGGCAAGGCTTTCCGGCAGAAGTGTCAGCTGGATGTTCATGTGAAGCGACACAACAGACAAGCATTGTACCCATGTCACGAATGCTCCACAAAGTGCTACACAAAAGGTATTTCTCAAACCACATCTTGATTACATAATTATTAAGACTTCTTTTCTTCATGTTCACAGACTGTAAACTCCTGGAGAAAGTTCTGATTGTTCGTCCATTTTTGGACTAGTCTCGTTCTAGAACTTGAGTTTTGCATGCACATCCATTTGACAGATCTGACATATTTGTTTGCAGACTGTTGGTTCCTTGCCTCTGTGGAAGGTGTATTCCAATTTAGCAGAAAATACCAAATAGGTTGAGTCTTACAACATGCTTGTTAGGGGGACAATGGGTCTTCTTTTCTTCTTCTTCTTTTTTTCCACCCCACAATGGGGCTCTGGAACTCACACAGTGAGGCAGGTATTAAGAAGTTATTTAACTATATTTATGTAGTAAACATGATAGGTGGCTCTATGCCTTATAGATTAGTGAATTTGTTTAACAGTTCCACGGTCCTTGGGTACCAGAGTTCGATTTCTGTGGCAGATAGATTTTTCTTTAAATAAATAAAACTGTTCTCATGGTTTTCAGTTAGTGGTATGAAAGTCGCACCCTGAAAGAGATTGAGGCCTAATCATCTTCATCAAGTGCCTTGCCAACTAGTGTAGGCATTCATGCATCTCCTAAGATCTCAGTCTTCAGTGTAATGGATCAGTTCCACTGATGATATTATTCCATGCCACTGTCTTGTAAAACCCACCATCATTTCTCTTGGTCTACCTCTTCTACCACTGATCTATCTCATCGTCACGATATTTTCCAGAGCTCCATTTCTCATCACATGCCCAAAGAACTTTGTCTCCTTCTCATTGTTGTATAAATGTTCTGTTTTCATAAGCCATTTCCAGGCAACCATTGTTAGTTATTCTGGCAGTCCAGGGTGCTCGCAATGTTATTCTCAAGAACCACATCTCAGTTGCCTCCAAACTCTTCTTAATTTATTTGCTCACATTCCAAGATTCACTGCCATTCAACAGAACAGGCTCGATGTAACATTTCAGTGCTCGTTTTCTGATGTTTAATGAGAGTGATTTATTATGTAAGATATTTTTCATCTTCTGAAATGCTGCCCTTGCCTGGCCAGTTGGGACCTACTGTGTAATATTCCCAAAGACAGCAGTGAATAAACTGTAACCAATCTCCATTGTGGTAACCAACTTTTCTGTCTCCCTAATTGGGTTCCTGTGTCCCATTTTGGGGAACAAATTATAGACCTACTGTTTTCCTGATAAGCACTCTGTAAAAAATGACTAATTAGGAATTTGCTTCTTCTTCTTGTTTAGTGTTCACCAGCTGTAAATTAAGGTAGAAAGTTCCTTTTTTTTTTTTTGTTTTTTTCTTCTGTTTCTGGACTTTAGAATTTTGCACACAGATCCGTTTTATACATCTAGCTTACTTACATACAGTCTGTTGGTTCCTCACCTGATTGGGAGGGGGGGGGGAACAGTCCTAATTAGTTACCTTTTACGATATGCTTGTTAGGGATGCAGTGGGTATATCCCCACTCTCCCCCCCCCCCCCCCCCCCCCACCCAAAAAAAAAAAGAATAGGAGTCCCAGAACTCACATGGTCAAGGTATATACTGAAATTAGATGTGTTGGGCTCATATATCACAGCCTAGTTTTAAACCACAACACAGCAAACCAACTACCCCGATTTAATGGCGAACACACCCCTCTTTTCGTTGCAGCCAGTCCAAAACCTCTGTATTTTATTGTTGTTGTTTCCCTGAAGTACCACCTATTCTTCAGCATATCAAAATCTACTGTGTGAGTTCATTGACTGGTAAATGTTTATTTTACAGGTGATTTGGTGAGACACATGATAAAACATACTGGCGAGAGGCCCTTTCATTGTAAACTATGTCCAAGGGCCTTCACTCGTAAACAGTATCTAATGGACCATGAGAACCAACATTATGGACGCAAGCCGTATCGTTGCAGTGTCTGCTCTGCTACATTCCATGATATGGGCTCTTGCCACCGACATCTGAAGAAACATAAGGTATCGGCAATGATTCTTCTACTTTCCTCCCTGTTCTCCTTACTTCTTAAGTTTTCATTTTTATATTTTACAATGACTACCAACAGTTATCATCATTGTGTGTTATGCTGATAATCGAGACAGATTACTTCCATAATACAATTTTACTTAAATGGTGTTATTGTCAGTTTGCATGAATGTGCATTTAAGTGAGGATCCATCAGAAAAGGATGTATAAGAGGAAGAATATGACGTGTATACAACCAATGTGCTACTGGAACAGTGAGTACCTACACCTTATGACATTTTTGCTGCAGACGATTTGTACAATCAGTATCTTACTTTTTAAAAGTCCATAGATGACATGATAAAATATATATGTGTGTTTTCAAAACAGTGTTTTCCACGTAGTGAATTTAAATAATGCAGACACAAATAACGCCTTGCTCAATTTATGGCCAGCATATTTCGCTGTATCTTGTAAGGTGCATTACTACAGAGTTGCATCAGCATATAATAAAGTACCACAACAAGCTGAATGAATCCCACTGAACTACACTTCACATGGTCTGTCTTGACACATTGTTTGTTTAGTTGCTGGAAGTTCACGACAGTCAGTGACTTACCAGAACAACTTGGAATTTTTAAAAAGCTCCTTCTGTTTACATAAGGGAAGATTGTTCATTTGTTACCGATAAGCTGCGGCTAATCTCAGCATTTGCCTGTTCCGTGTGGTAAATAACAGGGAAAGATACTGTTCTTGTGAGTTACATATCTGGAATCCAGCAAATAGTTATAAACCATTATGAAGAGAAAATGTAATATGCTGTATTATTTTCATATCATCTTTTTTAAGATACTAAGCTAGTTACTGATTTGTTTATGATCTGTCTTCCAGCTGGAGAAGGATGGAGATGACAGCAAGAGCCCAACACACTCTGCTATGCTTAGCAGTAGTGACTTTCACAGGATTCTTGAGGGAACACAGATTGGGCAGGTAAGGATCCATTAAATCAAATATAATGTTGAATTCATTTCAGCGCCTTATTTTATTAATAGTTAGTATGTGGTTATCTTGTCAAAGTCTCTATGTTTATACCTTAGTTTGTCAATGGCATCTCTTAATCTTTCCAGAATTATCCTTTCATATTTTCCCAGTGACTGACAGTAGCTTAATTCTTCTATATTTGTTGCATTTTTGGAAGTCCCTCTTTCTTTGGTAGTTTCCCCTGAAATCCTTCTTTTAAGCCTGCTGGTATTTCTCCCAAATTTTGTTAAATATGTATGCAGTAATTCTGTTGATATGTGTTTTAATTGCTTTAGCTTCTGCTGAGATTCTATCTGGACCAGCAACTTTTCCCATTCATCTGCAGTTTTTATAAGCTTTTTACAATAGTTGTCCTTAGATGGCTTCTCCCAGTTGATGCCCAAATCCACTTTAAGGTGGTTCATTTGCGACAGGTCTGTTAGAAAATTTTTCAGAGTATTCTAACAGTCTGTTTATTTGGTGAGAATTTTCTCATTACTGTTTTTGATTTAGTCTGCTCGGTTCATTATATGCAGCTGCTATTTTTCTTGCGATGATGTATAGGTCTGCAAGGTTTTCGTTCAGTGCTGCTATTTCTCCTATAATGCTAGGCCATCTAAATGCAGCCTCTAACCTGAGTATTCCCTACTCATCCCCTCTAATGGCTGTTGCAGGATAATGTTCTTTTTAGACTGTGGCCCTAACCTCTTGATTTCTTAGATATTTCCATGTGTGTAAGAACATACTGAGTTTCAGCCTCACTTAACTTAATCAGCGGGGGCCACAGGCTCTCGAGACACTGTGTTCGCCTAGAGTGCTGGAGGCCCTAGTGGAGGCTGGTATTTTTTTTTTTTCAAGTGGATTTCTAGTAATTTTCTTTGGTCTCTGACGCCCGTGTGTATTGTTGCACACGTAAAAAATCCCTTGGTCGTTGGAAATAGAGAAGAGTAGACTAAATGCAGTGCTCGGGCAAAATTTGAGTTAATAATCTACCCAAAGTATTTCCAGATCCTCGCCTCGATTCGTGCACTGACCTGAGATTCTCATAATCAGTCAGACTTGAGTTTGAATTAGAATGGAGCACTTTTAGGTTACTCTTGTGCCATGATGTTGATCTGTTGTTTAAACCTTTTAAACCTTAATTGTGGCGCGGTGATTTATGTCACAGGCGTGAGGGGAAGTTAAGTCCAACATGATGTGTATAAGGAGATACTCCGTACGTCACTCGGGCGCCAGTCCTTTACTATCCTGGTTGTACGGAACCTCACACAAGACCCCTACAGCACGTCCTCGTCGTGCGCCACGGATAATGTCTCAAATGAGCATTAACAGAGCTGTCAGGGGATCTCGGAGTTCGGCGGCCCCCAGAGGTGAGGTGTCCTTGTGGCTCTCATCAGCCCGCCCCCAAACGCTTGGGTGAAAATGTTATCAAAACTCATTAGGAACATGAGTAGGTTTGCCAAACGTACAGCCAAAATTACAACCCTTGGTTAAAAGACTGCGGAGTAAAGAGAACAATGTTCACTGCACATCCTCTGTTAACCCTCAGTGTCGTCGTCACCGCGCTGAAGTACTCCACAACAGCAACCATCCATAGGCTGGCCATCCTTGTACATCCTCGGTTAACCCTCAGTGTCGTCGTCACCGCGCTGAGGTTCACCACAACAGCAACCATCCATCGGATGGCTAAGCCTAAATGTCCGACAAAACTAGATCATACGGATCAAAATCTGACCATCAAAATTTGTATTGAACTGAAAAAGACCGACAGAATGTCCACACCCAAAGACCCCACTCGCCCGAGTGTTGGGACAAAACTGATAACGATATGCCGGATGCAGGATGTAAAATTCTATCGAGCTAACGGCTCGTCAAAGAAATCTAACGTGCGAGGAAAAAAAAAAAGAATGTACCTATCTGTGTGGTCCCCGCTGACTTCCAGAGGGCGCAGCCCCTGTTGAGCGGGAGGCCTGATACGGTTGTGAGGTTAAGCAGGCATGTGCAGGACGTGACGATTCCTTGGGTGAGCCCAGAACCAGAGCGCCATGTGCCGGCTCTGCATGCATGGAAGCCTCCTTGGATGGGGGGGAATGCCCATGATCTGCCCCTGCCTTCCCTTGAAGGCTAACTGTTCCACAGGGGGCTGCCCCAAAGGGGTACTCCGGGGGCAATACCTGCGGCGAAGGAGACAAAGTGGACACCACAAAAGTCAGGCAACATCTCGACCCACACAAAACAATGGCCACAGTCACCCTAAAAATAGGCCTGATGTCTTCCTTCGAAGTCGGAGTACAGCTGCCCAGGAGGCAGGGAAATGAAAAACAGTTGTACACGCAAAAATCAGGTCCAGGTGAAAGCCAAAAGTCCAAGCGGACGATTATCCTGGACCTTCCACTAGAATTCACAGCCGGTGATCAATTAAAAAAAAAAAAAAACCTTAAGTTATCAGCATATGGTGATCTAAAAATGTTTACACTAATGACAATTGTTCTAAAATTCATTTTAATATAGATATAATCAGTATGATTTCCTATAGTGTGTGGTCTTGTGATATCTTCATTGTTTTATATATTCTTTTATGTAGAAAAAACACGTCCTCCTATGACATTGTATGAAAGTGCAACCAATGGTAAATTATTCTGAGTGTTTTATCATTACATGAAGTGCATGATCCCTATGTTCTTATTAATTTGACACAAGTAATCAAAGATTATCTTCAGAATGTTAGTATTTAAGTGTAACAACTTCCATTATCTTAGAGATTCTGAAAATGTTCATTTTATTTCACACAAGTCAGTCGTAGATTGTCATCAACCTGTCATTATTTAAATTTGACATTTTGTCTGTGTTTAAATTTAGCTATTTCTGTTACTTCACTAATTCTAAAACATGTTAATTTCATTTAACAGTTTTCATTACCTTACATTCCATTTATAGACTGTCTTCAGAATGTCATGATTTACATTTATTAACTTCCGTGTCTGTGGCTTAGGCGTTGCAAACGCAATGTTCACTTCATTTAACAATTCCCATTACATGACAGATTCTATACAAATTCACTACATTTAACAATTTCTCTTTATGTAAAAATTTCTATTACATTACCGATTCTAAAATGGCCACTTTATGTAACAATTTCAATCACCCTACAGATTCTGAAGCTGGATGATGGATCTGATGCTTTGGTCAAAGCCGTGGTCTCTGAAGCAGATGGCAGCACTGTATATCACATTACCTGTTTAGGAAAATCAGATGAAAAGTGAAGATAAGTCAACACACCTGGAAGTTGATGAGATGGATTCGTCAACTTTTTCACCTACGGCTGATGTAAATGAAGAGATCGACGAGAATTGACACATCCTCCTACTTCTGCTGAACATTTGCATTGTCATTAAAACAAAATTTGAAATGGTAGTCTTCTTCTTCTTCTTTCGTTCGCCTGAAATAAGTTGTCTATATCAGCAGTTTTGTCTCTTGTGTAAATTTCACTGTCGTTGTTAGTTCATTCAGTGGTCCATAGAGTTTACGTTCCACTGTTGTTCTTTCTGGCCAAAAGGTTTGCCTTAATGTGTCAAATTCGGTGCAGTCCTGGAGTAAATGCTCTGCTGTCTGGGGCACCTTTCCACAGGTGTTCATGGCTGATACACCTATCTTGAATTTTGTGTACACGTGGTTACGTAATCAGAAATTATAGTGATCAGTGTATATATAAATTTGTTGTGAGAAGGAATGTATAAATGACTGGCAACATTTATGGAAAAAGCGAGGAGAAGACAAAAAGGTAATATTTTTAATACCTGGATGGCTTACCCATGTAAGAGGGGTGGGTGATCCTGATCCATAATTCTGGTGATCATGTGAGGTGGCTAAACATGGCAGCCTATGCTTATAAGCAAGGCACATGATGATGCTGATTTAGTAAACTGCTATGGCAGAACTTAAAATCTGATTACTTGTGAAATTATATATACTTGGAAGAGTTACTGTTATATTTGTGGATATGTGGTGAGAATGATTCGACTTAATGTAGAATTAAGAATCGACAGCGAAGCACTCAGAACACTCCTATAAGCGTTCCGTCCCCCATCTTCAGCAGCAACCGAAGAGCTCCAAGTTTGATGGTGCCAGTATTTGATTGTGTATCCATCTTGCCTTTCCGTTGAGCGTGGCGTGGGCCAGATCACCTGGTAAATCCTCGCAGCACCATTCTCCTCAGACCATACTGATCTATCTGCGATTCCGCACTGTTCACTCGCTCCCAAAGGGACCCTCACCACATCTAGCATATTATACATTAGTTCACCACCAATAAGTGCAGAACTGGCAAATCTATCTGCCTGCTTATTTCTAAACACACCAGCATGACCTGGAAAAAATATCCAAAGTACGCTAGCTACCTGGAACCTCTGAAGTGATGCTTGCCACTCTGCATGGAGCATGCCTGTCTCCACCTTTCTCATCAAGCTTTGTGAATCAGTTTTGATTAGACATGCAAACAGATAACAACTGGTAAACTTTATGAAAAATGAGCAGGAGGCAGAAACTGTTAATACCTGGATGGTTTAGCTACCTGGATAGGGTAGACAGGATCTCTGATCCATTATTCAGGTGATTATGTAGGTTAGCGAACTGTGACCGTCTACGCTTATTGGCATAGGACATTATAGCAATGATGATTCCTTTATAATGAAAATGTTGATTTCCTTTGAGTTAAAAGTTCTTTAAACTTCTGTGACGTGAATTTCACACGTACAGTAGAACCTCCAAAAGTTGACCACCTCCAGAAGTTGACCAGTTTGCTACAGTCCATTATGTTTTCAACATATAGAGATTCTACTGTACATCAAAGGCATTCCTGTCAATCCCCAGCATTATAACTGCTGTAAGTGTTATTACAATGAAATGTGCCTGGATGTGAATAAAGCATTTAAATATCAAAATGTAGACAATCAGTCAAAGGCAGCTATTGTAGCCTAGTTGTCCAACAGGAAGTTTAAGAACACTTTTTAGGCCATTGACTTATATTTATATAGATAAGCTGGCATTTAATGAGTGGTGTCACCTTTCCTTTTCAGGAAATTGCCAGGCACTGCTGTATTTGAATGTTTCTTAGCAAGCTCTCCTTATCTCAGTGAAAGCTTGAATATATAGTATTTTCATCATCATCATCATGAAGACTCCGAAGAAGACTGGTCAGACTTTTTTTTCAGAGGGTCAAAAATTGGGCATGCAGACCTGTCTTACATTTGGCCTTTCCAAATACCCGTCTTTCAGACCTCAGTTGCATTTAATCAGTAAAGGATATTGTGTGTATTGTTATATGGAAATAACAGGCTTTATTGCTAAAATATAGTTGTGTTTTGAAAGATGAGTGTTTGTGGAAAAAAGGATATTATGTTTATTGTTAAATGGAAATAACAGGCTTTACTCATCATCATCATCATGTGCTCTGCCAACTGGCGTAGGCACTCATGCATCTCCACAGATCACGATCCCTGGTTGCCTTGAACAGCTCTCTTGATGATATCCCTCCATGCTATCATTTCAGCCCATCCAGCATCATCTCTCTTGGTCTGCCTATACCCATTTTCCACTGATCTTTCCAGTTGTCACGATGTTCTCCTATGTCTCTCTTCTCATTATGTGGCCAAAGAACAGTGTTCGACTCTTCCTTATTGTTGTATATAGAGATCTATTTTCATTAGCTTCTTTCAAGCAATCATTGTTGTTGTTACTGGCTTCACTGGTAAAAAATAATTGTGGTCTAAAAGATTAGTTTTTGGAGTAGCCGAATGCAAGACAGGTTTGCATACCTACTATATGACCCTTTGAAAATAAAGTTTGTTTGTTTTTCTGAGTCACATCTCTTTTCTGTTGGGTGTTTTTGTCATCTTTTTATCTCATTGCAATTAGACCATCAGCCAGTTGACTGAGTGTGCTCCGTGCCGGTTGTCTTTAATTTTTTCTAGTACAAAGTAAATATGTCACACTCTTTCTTTGGTGAAGTTTAGTGTTTATGCTGACATTTAAAACAAATCAAGCAGATGAATCACTGGAGACAAAAGAATTAAAGTAACAGGTCAATTTACTTTTATTTTGGTAATATTGATGGTCAAGGAAACATAAAGAAAGACATTTTGATACTCATTGGCAAGGCATCACCGAGTTTTAAAAAGTTTGAACAAAATATGGACCTATAAATTATATATTTTTAGAACCAAGTTTCAATTCTAGTGTTATTTCAGTTTTAACATATGTCAGTGAAATTTGGAGAACCACTAAAGATATTAATGAAAGTTAATTGCAGTCAAAAAACAAATGCCTGATAAACATAAAATGGGGTTAACCCAAGGAGACTGACAAAATATTTGGTTAAACACTAGTATCAACATTTAGGATATCCTTGAGATACCCAAAGGTAAACATTGATGTTACGGTAACATAAGAATAGTATAAACACTCAAGTAACATAGAAATCATTTAAAAACTTCAGTAAAATAGGAATGATGTAAAAACTTTAGTATCAGAAATCATGTAAAAACTTTAGTATCAGAAATAATGTAAAAACTTTAGGAACATAGAAATATTGTAAAAACTTGGGTATCAGAAATAATGTAAAAACTTTATTGACAGAAATAATGTAAAAACTTTAGGAACATAGAAATAATGTAAAAACTTTAGTAACAGAAATAATGTAAAAACTTTAGGAACAAAGAAATTATGTAAAAACTTTTGTATCAGAAATAATGTAAAAACTTTAGAACATAGAAATAGTGTAAAAACTTGAGTATCAGAAATAATGTAAAAACTTTAGGAACATAGAAATAGTGTAAAAACTTGAGTGTCAGAAATAATGTAAAAACTTTATTGACAGAAATAATGTAAAAACTTTAGAAACATAGAAATAATGTAAAAACTTTAGGAACATAGAAATAATGTAAAAACTTTAGTAACATAGAAATAATGTAAAAACTTTAGTAACAGAAATAAAAGATGAGAAAATACATTTACATGAAAATAATCTGTTTTTTTATAATTCTAAGCTGAGCTGCAGTGACAAATGGCTAAATGCTTGTCTGCCAGCGTGAAGGTATGTAATTCACACAAAGTGAATATTTCTTTTATAAACACCTTCGATCCCAAGTTCCGCCCCAGCCTAAATGTATACCAGCACATTAACGGGCAGAGACGAAATAAGCCTTTGAGTGTCGATTGGTCTATAATAAGGTAAAAGTGAGAGTACTGATTTCACTGCACCGGTTTTTATACCGTATTTCTCAGTCTCTCTTCGCAGAACATCTAGCTGCATGCCTAGAGTGTTGCACAGAGCTTGATCTCCATAGCTCCGGCGACGATCGCCTGGATCTCAGTAAAAATTACATTAGTGAACTATACGGCGCCGCTGTGAAATGAACCCACAACCTTCAGAGCACGAGGCAAACAGCGTGACCATTTCACCGCAGAGACTCCCTGGTCTGTTTAAAAAAAAATGTTTAGCATCAAGAGCCTGATTTTTTTTTTTTTAGTATCCAGAAGCCATGAGTTGTTAACCCTTAGGCTCAGTACTATGGATATCGCAACCCTTCGGCCTTGATTCCATGATAAATACCGTAAATGTGGCTTTTCTGCCTACCCCCAGGAGTAACAGCCCACAAGGAGTATATCTTCCGGTCTAAAGTACACTACGAGCCGGGCCAAGAGCCTGAAAAACCACTGGTGTGAAGGTGTCCTAAAATCATTTTGAGGGGTGCCATATCAACCTTCATGGTTCACTCTTAAATAACAGCCCCTTTCTCTTTAAAGTTGACAGCATTCACCAGGATTACTTCACCACAGCTTTTTTCCTAGATCTTACCCTGAACATTGCACTGAATTTGGTTAACCACAGCAGCAAATGCATGAAGAAGTTGGACGTGTCAGGCCGAAATGTTTAAATGTTGTATCTATGAACACAGTTATATCCTCTAGGTAACGCAGAAGGAGAGAGAGAGACATACACATATGCACAGAATTTTGTTGAAAATGAAATAATTAAAATCTTCATATGGGTCCTGGGGCTCCATTTTGGATCACAAAACAGACCTACTGCCTCCCGAACAAACATGGCCTATCAGGCGACTAATCAGGATTGTTTCCCTCAAAGTTGAAGTGCATTTACCTGATAGGTGAGAAGCCAACAGTCTGCCTTCACATTAGCTAAATTTGTAAAACGGATGTGCACGCAAAACTCATATTCTGCAACAAGACTAAAGTTCAGAAGTGG